TAAGTTTATTAACCACGACCGTGCATTAATAAACCGAAGTTACTTGTGAAACCATCAACGATTAACCATCGGTTCGTTGATCGTTTCTAGTAATAATTAATATATGAAACAAAACTAGTTGATCCTTTAAGTAATGTTCAAAATATTAATATGAAATATGAATAGAAATTAATTAATACTCAAGGAAGAATATTAAAGAAGATGAATCCTACTATAGTTAATATCAAGATGTTAACTAATTGTCATCTTAGTAACATTCCCCAATATTAACATAGAGGAAGAAATAACTATTACTATAACCAATGTCAAGATGTTAACTAATTGTCATCTTAGTAATACTCCCCAACATTGATATAGAAATAGTATTTAAAGGAAGAATTAATATTCAAGGAAAGAAGTTAAGAAAATAACTCACAACTTTAATAATCAACAAGCTTCAAGAGCAACACCAAGAAATGGAAGTTTAGCTCCTCATTTGGAGACTAAACATGCTATAAAAATATAAAAGAAATACTATTCTAAACTGAGCTTAAGAGTATGGAAGAAGGAATGAAAAATAGTGAAGAAAAAGTGTGCTATTTATAGGTGTTTTTCAAGACCTTGGGCTGGGTACCCGACCGGGTCAAGTGCCCACCCGACCGGGTGCATGTCAAGATCAGATAATCTTCCACGTTCTTGTGTTTCAGCACGTTAAAATGTCCCGGGTCAAATCCGACCCAGCCGGGTGAAGTAGGGGACCCGACCGGGTCTAGTAGTTTCCTGGGCACTTTCGGTTTTCACTTCTTACCCGACCGGGTGTAAGGTCCTACCCGGTCGGGCTTTATCTCATGGGCAGTCAAATATCATTTTTTCTTCACTTCAATGTCCTCCTTTCCACATCCTAATTGCTAACTCTACTTTACAACTTACAAATGAAGATTAAAATACAATTACAACTAAAATCACACAAATGTTTACAAACTAACTAAAACGGTAAACAATCCACACAAATCAAACATAAAAACAAACATTTATGCACTACTAATTAGTACATATCATATGCACTAGACTTGATTAGGAACATTCTCAAAAAAAAATATCAAAAAATTCCACCGGAAAGACCCTCCTACGGGCAAGTTGTTAGGAAGTAAACTCACACAACACGAAAGACAATAAGAAAGACACACAAAATTTGGTAACCCAGTTCGCCACAAAAGACTACGTCCGGGGGCACTACCAAGTCAGGATGTTACTATAATTTTCTGATAATGATTACAAGGAGAGAGTGTCTATTTATAGAGAGTAAACTCTAACCCCAATACTGAACCCCCGTCCAACTCCTCGTCGAGTTGGATCGGCGGAATGGGCTTGATTATACAGTCTCTGGTCATGCATGCGTGCCAGACCAGATCAGTTCTATACATACATATACATGCATGCATGCATACACACACATACACACATACAGACACACATAAATACACACACCCACACGCGCACACATACATACATACATACATACATACATACATACATACATACATACATACATACATACATACATACATACATACATACATACATACATACATACATACATACATACATACATACATACATACATACATACATACATACATACATACATACACACATACATACACACACACACACACATACACACACACATACACACACATGCATACATACACACACACATGCGTACGTACACACATGCGTACGTACACACATGCGTACGTACGTACGTACATTCATACATGCATGCATGCATACAGGCATATATATATATATATATATATATATATATATATAGAGAGAGAGAGAGAGAGAGAGAGAGAGAGAGAGAGAGTGTCCTGACCGGAGCGCCGTCCGGCCTCCTCCTTTTGGGGGTTTTCCCGGTAGTAGTTTTTGCTCAAATTTTTTGTGTATGTTCCTCATCACGTCTAGTTCATCCATACCAAAGTTTAGCAAAAAATTCAATCGGGAAGGTTGTGAAATGATTTTTTCAAGTTAACTGGTCCGGAATATGCATTTTCCGGACCAGTTAACTTGCAAATATCATTTGACGACCTTCCCGATTGAATTTTTTGCTGCAATTTGGTATGGATGAACTAGACTTGATGAGGAACATACACAAAACATTTGATCAAAAAATACCACCGGGAAGGCCCACAAATGGAGGAGGCCGGACGGGGCTCCTGTCCGGAAATTCCGGACAGGAATATTCCTATATATATATATATATATATATATATATATATATATATATACATATATATATATATATATAATATTCTCATCTCTTTAATTTAAGATACAGAGTAATATTTACCTTCTTATTTTTATATTTAGTTTTTTTTTAATAAAAATGTCATTTTATGGTGTTTGCAATCTTTTATCTCATTTTCAATTAATGAACTATTTAAGGGATGTGGAATGCTTTTTACTCGAGAGATTTTTATGAAATGGAATTTTGACTTTGTACTCACTTTTTGAATGTTATTGGATTTTGCACCTTCTTTTAAAAAAACTTTAACTTTACATCTCATTTCTTTTAAAAGTCCTCTTTGACTTTGCACTTCCTTTTAAAAAAAACTTTGACTTTAGACAACTAATATATGGCTTTTTTCATTTTTTCCCCATTTCCGATCCTTTTTCTTTTTTCTCACTGTTTCCCTTCTCCATGTTTCTCTTCCACCCTCCGTCCCTGCAACCTTGAAGGTGCTTCAAGTACAGCCTTCACCCACTTCCTCCACTTCTTCCACCCACTTCCTCCATCTTCTTATACCCAATTCCTCCATCTTCTTCTACCCACCCTCGCCGGACACCTTGGACGGCGCTCCACTGTGCAAAGTCAGAGTGAACTAAGGTCGCCGGAGATGCCCGAGTACTCATCGCTCCCCGGACACCTCCTCGCTGGTCATTCGTCCTCTTTCCTCGAGTTGATGGCTTAGAAGACGGGGTAGGTACTCTGTTGAAGCTTCAATTTGGCTGGTGCTCCATGAGACCTCCAGAGCACTTCTAGATCCGAGTTCAATTCGGCCGGAGAACGGCCTAAACATTGGCGAAGAAGAGGAGGGTGAAGTGATGCCGGGTAATTGCGAGCAGAGGACTAGGGGGAAGAGAACAAGGAAAGAAAGAAAGAAACCCAAAAAAAAAAGTTGCAGCTGGGCGGGAAGAAGAAGTGAGCGGCAAAGAAAGGAAGGAAAAAGAAAAAGGAAAAGGAAAGAAAAAGAAAAAGAAATAAAAAATGCAACATCAGACGCCACATAAGCAATTTAACAGGGAACTTGAAGGGTGCCTCTTAAGAAGAGGATTTGCCTTTTTTTAGTTCGTGGGTCTAATTGGTTGTTGTTTTAGTTGAGGGGTTCAATTGATTTTTTTGAAGTGGCAGGGGACTTATTTGATAGTTTTCTTAACTTTTAATTATATACGAGTGTGTTCTACTCCATATTAGATATTACTAACTTTGAATTAGATGATAAATAATAAAAGTGAAGTATGTTTGGTTGAAATTTGTGCAGATGAAAAGAATAGAATCACAAATTGATTATTTTGATGAAAAAAAAAAGTAGAATAAGCTAAATATGAAAAATATAATGACAAAGTTTACATAACATTAAACTGGAAACACTAATTATGATTGAGTTTTAGGCTTTAGCTCATCATAAGTCTAACGTAAATTAAATCGGGCACACGTACGTCATTGCGTACTGAGAAAAGAGGCAAATAAGCCCTCCAGTTATTTGCAATTCTGCAATCAGGCTCATGAACTTGAATAATTGCAGATACACCCCTCAATTCATTAAAAATGATGCAATCATATCCTTTTTTACTTGTTGGTGGGGGTAAGATGATGAAATATTACCGGCACTAGCAAGTAAAAAGGACCTGATTGTATCATTTTCAATGAGTTGAGAGGTGTATATCTGCAATTATTCAAATTCAAGGATGTGATTGCAGAATTGCAAATAGATCGAGAGCTTATTTGCTCCTTTTCTCTTTTGTGCTAGAGTACATACATATTGATAACCAGCTAGACTAGCATTGGGTATTTCCTGAAACCAATGAGAGATATGCGGAAATTGTCAATTAATGTAGTCAAACGTAAATGTTCCTTAGTTAGGTGTCGTGCATTTTCATTTCTCTCTCCGATAGTTAAACAATCCTAACATAATCATTATTGACATATTCTTTATATGCATTTTAGTTAAATGTTTTGAAGTTAATGGTGTCTAACTTTGATGATCGATTATATATCTATTAATATAAATAAAGTATTGATAATTTCAAAATGATATGAAAATGTTCTTTGTTAAAAATACTACTTGTATTATAGGAGTATAAAATTATTAAATTTTGCATAGATATATTAGTTAAAATAATCCATCAAATAATTTTACTCTCTTTTGTTAGAAAATAAAAAATGACTAAATAAAATGAGACAAAGGTAGTATATTATTAATTACGTAGTACTACCTCCGTTCCATTTATGTGTCTCGTTTGACTTTAGCACAATTATTACTAAAATGGTTGAAAATGTAAAGGTTGTGGTTGAAATTTGAGTATAATATTCCGTAAGTGAAATGATGTGGACTACATATTTCTTTCCAAAAAGGATGACACTTATTTTGCGACAACTCAAAAAGGAAAGTAAGACAGATAAAATGGGACAGAGAGAGTACTACATGGATGTTTTTACTTGGACTGTAATTTGCTGGTCTGGTTTGATCTAATTTCTTTGTATTTTTATAATTTTCTAAGTCTGATTTGGTCTGGACTGGTCTGATCTGGTCTGATCTGGTATGATCTGGTCTGGGACTAGTTACAGTCCAAGTAAAAACATCCATAAAGTAAAACACCCATCGATTAAGATCTTCATTAATCTACCCAATCATCTTTTTTTTCCTTGTCCACAAAAGTAACAAAACACACGCCCACACATATATATGCCTTCATACACTTGGGTGCATTATATGCATATAAGCCTTTACCTCTTTGAAGTGCGAATTAATTAAAATGGCGGTCGGTGAAGGTGATAATACTGTTACAAGTCGCTACACAAATATTCGGAATGGTGCTTGGTACATGCAGTTTCGAAATGGTTCTAATCCATGGATGGCCCGATATGCTTATATATTAATGTTTACTGTTACGAGTTTACTAGCGGTGGCTGTTCGAGACTATGGCTTTACTACTTTGAACTCAATCAAAGGTACGTACGGCATTGATATATAGATTTAAAAATTTCGTGTCATATATATCGTGTCAAAATATTTTTTGTCACAAATATGAATGCGGAGTATATGATATATATATATCATGCCAATTCTCTATCAATTTTGACGAAACTTTTCCAAAATCCTTGTCGATTCCAATTTGTAGTGAAGCTTAATTATATATGCTGATAGATTCTAATTGTAATTATGCTCGGACCTTAATTCATTATTCATTTGAATCCATTATATATATTTAATTGGTTGCAGTGCTAAAAGATTATTGCAATGGTGGGGAAGACTGTTCGGGTATAGAAGGAGTTCTCAGAGTGAGCTTGGGATGTTTTGTATCCTTTTACTTAAAAAAGCATCCTCTAACTTTCAAACAAAAGCATCCTCTAAATCAAATGTCTAATAAAGTATTGCCATATTTTATTATTTCATAGAAATAACTCTGATATCTCTTTTCTAAATTTTGTACCATTTAAAAGTCAACAAAAGTTCTTAGTTACGGAGTATAGTATATGTTTGGTACGTGCAAATTAAAACTTGTTAGATGCTCTTTTAAAAATTTAAGATCTTTTCGGAGGGAAATATTATTTTTTATCATTAATTAATCACAACAACATATATTAAATCAAACAGCTAGAGAATTTTTTTCGATGAAATAGAATTGAATTAAGCAGACATCTTTTGTCAAATAGTATGTAGTAACATAACATTTTTCCTTTAAATTAAGTAATGTTGCCACAAAAGACTATTTGAAATTTCTTGTATAGTATTCTCTCTTTGATGAGCTTTCTTTTCTTATCTTTGCATGATCTTTTTTTAAGTAATTCCATTATTGTATTTGGTAGCCTCATAATTCAACGGGATGGGTAAATTAGTCCAGTCAAAAAGTAAAAGTTGGGATCTATTTGCTTTAAAATATCAACAATGTTGTCCGAAAGCAATCCCAAAAGCCGTAACTTTTGTGAAAAATGTACTTTTAATTGAGGTCAGGTATGATTACATGCCAGCTTTTAAAAATTTACAAAATTCTCAAAATGCATTTTCTTAAATATTATTCCCTCCCTGCTAGATAAAGGGTCTCACTTGATTACGGAATACTCCGTACCATTTAAAGGGTCTCAATTGATTCGTTTTAGAAACTAATTAACACTTTTAAATGATAATAATTTAATAATCATTCATTAATAATAGGAAAAAATTATCAAAATATCTCAAGCTTTGAAGGGGTGTGAGATAAACACTCCAAACTTGCATATGTAATTTAAATACCTCAAACTTTATATAAAACATTATATTAGCACCATAATCCAGAATTATTTCTTTCATAAATTTCTATTTATGGTATTAATTGCATAATTTAAAATATTTTAGAATTCATAAAGACACAATTAACATTCTAAACCTCCGTTTTGAAATAAATAAATAATGTCACCCCCAATATATATATTGCAACACTTTTAATTTGCTATGTTATATTATGATATTAACCCCATAAATTTACACTTTTGAAAGGAATTATACATGACAATGGTGTGAAAACAACTTTTAATATAAAGTTTGGGGTATTTAAATTACATATGTAAGTTTGGGGTGTTTACTTCACACCACTTCAAAATTTAGGATATTTTTATTATTTTTCCCTTAATAATAATACACTCATAACATCTCAATTATTGTCAATTATCTAATTATATTATATACTCACACAAATTATTACTTAAATATTATGTACTTCATTTAATTATTATCTAAAAATTAGGTCATATTTTAATGAAAACATCAAAATGGGATGTAGATGTTACTATATTTACACTACAACGTAGCAAAGTATAGCTATTGTAATATATGTAAAATGTGATAATAGGTGTCAAAAATGTCACAATATAATATATATATCAAATGTAACATGCATTTTTTAGTATGTTGCATCCGACTGGTGTTACTATAGATGTACCATTCGTAGTAACAATTTATTATTGTAACATTTCTTCGTACAATAATATTACAATAGATTTTATATTATAGCAATTTCTACCAAGTTACAAAATGAATGCTACAATATAATAGATCAGACATTTTTTGTTCTGTAATTACTTTTTTATCATGCATATTCTTCACGAAGTCTTATTAGGAGTAAATTATAGACCGTATGAGATAGTGAGGAACATCAAGAGAAACAAGGTCAAAAATGAAAAAAAAAATATATAAATAAATAAAAGATGAAAAACTAAAAAAATCAGTGTTAATTTGATATGGTAAAACTTCAAAAGTTATCAAATTAGAAACGGCAGAAAATAATTAATAGAGTATATTTTCCGAAAATGAATACGGAGTAAACAAAAGTGGGCGGGAATGGGGTTCTTGTCTAAAATTAAGGACACTTTGAATGTTTTCATAACTTCACTCTCAAACGAGACGAGACCAAAATATGCTTAAGCATATCATATCATATGGATCATACCAAACTTTAATTATTGTAAATACACATAAATATATTTACTTTTCATCAAACCATTTCAGACCAGATCAGAAAATTTCAGTCTAATTAAAAACATTCTAATTTAATTAAAATTGAGTTCTTAATATAAAAATGTTTTTTAGAATTATTATTAAATTTAGTAATAAAATGAAAGATAAGAATGTTTTTTATTGTTGATTTTGGTCTTAGACCAGTCTAAATCAGATTTCAACAGATCAGAGTTAGACAATGCGTAATATAAAACACATAAATCAAACAGTTATCAATCCATTTATCAATCCAGACTTAAACATATTAGACCATCAAATTAGATTAGACCTAACCAGCCAAAAAATGAGTTCAATTAAAAGCACCCATCAATTCATTAGATCTAACGAACCTGATTTTTCATAAATTTTACAATTTACAAGTAACTTGGAGATAAAATCGTCGAAATTCATGACAGTTTAATTAAGCTATTGAAAACATGAAAACTGATCGAACTATTTCCGTCATGAATGTCGTCCTATGTTAACAAGCCCGAATTATTATTATTCTTACCCATTTTTTGCATTCAATCATAATTAGTAATAAGATGTTAAAATCGAAACTATTCACATGTGACTATATTTTACTCGATCATAAATATATTAGAAATTTAATATTTGAAAAATATTGTAAACTACTTATCTCTTTAAAACTTTCAAAATACAAACTTTTTAATATGAAGTAGATTATATTAATTGGCAAAGTTGTGTGCATGTGATGATAACATGAAAGTAGAAGTCCAATTAAAAACGAAGGGGCGTATATTGGTCTATTATTCATATGGCGGTTAATTTATTGCATTTAATAATAATAATCATAATAATAATATTAATAATAATAATACATATTAATAATAATAATAATAATAATAATAATAATATAATAATAATAATAATAATATTAATAATAATAATAATAGATAATAATAATAATAATAATAATAATAATAATAATAATAATAATAATAATAATAATAATAATAATAATAATAATAATAATAATAATAATAATAATAATAATAATAATAATAATAATAATAATAATAATAATAATAATAATAATAATAATAATAATAATAATAATAATAATAATAATAATAATAATAATAATAATAATAAATAATAATAATAATATAATGATAATAATAATAGATAATAATAATGATGATGATGATGATGATGATGATGATGATGATGATGATGATGATGGATGATGATAATAGTATAATAGATTAATAGATAATAATAATTAATAATTATAATAATATAATAATAATAATAATATAATAATAATAATAATAATATAATAGATAATAATATAATAATAATAATAATAATAATAATATTTATAATAATAATAATAATAATAATAATAATAATAATAATAATAATAATAATAATAATTAATAATAATAATAATAATAATAATAATAATAATAATAATAATAATAATAATAATAATAATAATAATAATAATAATAATAATAATAATAATAATAATAATAATAATAATAATAATAATAATAATAATAATAATAAAAATAATAATAATAATAATAATAATAATAAATAATAATAATAATAATAATAATAATAATAATAATAATAATAATAATAATAATAATAATAATAATAATAATAATAATAATAATAATAATAATAATAATAATAATAATAATAATAATAATAATAATAATAATAATAATAATAATAATAATAATAATAATAATAATAATAATAATAATAATAATAATAATAATAATAATAATAATAATAATAATAATAATAATAATAATAATAATAATAATAATAATAATAATAATAATAATAATAATAATAATAAATAATAATAATAATAATAATAATATAATAATAATAAATAATAATAATAATAATAATAATAATAATAATAAAATAATAATAATAATAATAATAATAATAATAATAATAATAAATAATAAATAATAATAATAATAATAATAATAATATAATAATAATAATAATAATAATAATAATAATAATAATAATAATAATAATAATAATAATAATAATAATAATAATAATAATAATAAATAATAATAATAATAATAATAATAATATAATAATAATAATAATAATAATAATAATAATAATAATAATAATAATATAATAATAATAATAATAATAATAATAATAATAATAATAATAATAATAATAAATAATAATAATAATAATAATAATAATAATAATAATAATAATAATAATAATAATAATAATAATAATAATAATAATAATAATAATAATAATATAATAAATAATAATAATAATAATATTAATAATAATAATAATAATAATAATAATATATAATAATAATAATAATAATAATAATATTAATAATAATAATAATAATTAATAATAATAATAATAATAATAATAATAATAATAATATAATAGTAAAATAATTAATAATAATAAAAATAATACAGAATTAATAAGTATCATGTAAACAAATTAAATTATCCATACATAGTTTTCAAAAACAAAATTATTCCCCGAAGTTAGAACTTGACAGTTTCTTCAATAGATGTTCTATTTGGTCATGTTTGTTTCCACAGTACGAACTTCAAAGGTGAATGACCGCAGAGAAAAGTGGCATTCTGGGATGTGGATTCCAAAGATATTGATGATGGCTGTCCTTATTGTCATTGCATTCCTCCTTCCTACTATCATAATTTCAATCTACGGTAATTAGCTTGTCTCTGTCTATATCATTAATTTTATTTTACCATAGAAAGAAAAATGATGTGTTTATTTAATTATTCTCAACAGGCAAGGGTGCACTCCTTGGAGCCGGGTACGGTCAACCATTTTTACCATTCAAGAATTCTCAAAAGGAATCTATTTAACAAAAAACAATAAAAAAGAAATAGCTTTATTAATTGAGCTAGATTTGGTTTTCATGTTCATCATGATAGATCGATAGAAAGGGTAGTAATACAAATACCTTATATATTAGGTTATAAATTATTAGTACGCTCATGTGGGTAGAGGCGGAACCAAAATGTTTAAATATTTACATGCAACTTTTAAAATTACACGCATTTTTATATTAAAAATTAAAGCATTTTCTAAATTTCGGGTGATCCAGAGCCTGGGTTGACCCTCCCAAAACAAAGCAATCTTGAAGTTGGTGGCTCATTGTTGAGTTTTAGTGGAATGATAACGCGTTTGAGTTTAATTGACTCTTATAGGAGGACTATTATATTACAAAAAAATTATGAAATTGGAACAAATTTGACATAGATTGACCTATGATTTCAAGTCAAATAACTCGCGCCAAAGTGCTTTTGTCACGAATTTAGCGTATCACTGCCAAATTCTCTATGCATTTTGGCGAATCCCTACAAAATTCTTTGTCAATTCCGTGTTTTTTTGTAGTGAATTATATCGTCTTTAACTTACGATGTTTTTACTTGGACTATAATCTATGCCAGACCAGACCAGAACACACAAGACTAGACCAGACCAGACCAGACTTGGATAGTTATAAAAATTCAAAGAAATCAGACCAGACTAGACCAACAAATTACAATCCAAGTAAAAACATCCTTAGAATTGGGATTTCTTTCTAAAAAGTTAACAGAAGATTAATTGAAGGCCCTATATATATGTTGTTTTGTATGTTGATACGTGACTAGTATTGAAGGATGGCTTAACGTAGATATTATTTTGCAGAATTTTTTTAGCAATCCAACTGATTAGCATACTGAGTTGCATCACATGGCTAAGCAACTGGTGCTACTCTAACAAGTCGAAATGGAATTTCACTTGCAAAATGTTATTGGGAACCATCCCGCCCGTTCTAGTCCTTACAGTGATCATCTTTATGTTCGTGTGGTATGCACCACACCGGTCTTGTCTAATAGTCGTTTCCATTCTCATTGGAACTATCCTAATCTTCCTAATCATGGGAGTTTTTGCATATCGTTCTTCTAAGGCAAGTCTAATATTTAATACTTGGAATTTTATCAGTTCGGGACTCAAAAGATAAATGAATTATTAATTCAGGATCTGATGAAATGTATCGATATGAGACCCGAATAATGGAAAACTATCAGTTTAGGACCTGAATGATTGAAAATTATCAATCTAGGCTCTAAGTTATCATAAATTTTATTAATTTATTTATTTTAAAATTTTAAATATTATTTAGGACCCTTTTTTATAAAACTAATAAACTTCTATGAAGAAATATTATCAACAATTAGCAATTCCAATGAAATTAATAAAATTAAATAAATCAAAATCTATGAAATGTTAGGCTCTAGATTGATAGCTTTTTTTATCATTCGGGTCCTATACTGATTCGTTTCATCTTTCGGGTCCCGAATTGATAATGCATATATCTTTCGGGTCCGATAAAATTCTTTAATTCTTTGTCTTTTTTCTTGATCATTTATTTCAAGCTTTGTCAGCTCTAGCTTTTAATTGATGCCATATGACATGAAAATTAAACAGGTGGTCCAGGTGGAAGCTTGTTATCTGAATGCTTCTTTAATGGCACTTTATGTTGAATACATCTGTTGGAGCACACTCAAAAGGTTAAATTTTGCATCTTCATTGAACATGTCATGTCTTATGATGCTTTAGTTTTAATTCTTGAACGAGTGAAGTGTTTCCTAAATTTACTAGTGATCCACGTGAATCCCTTTTTAGCTTCAAATCGTTACCTTTAGAGTTAGCTAGATATAAAATTCATTACAAAGGATGTTATTATATATAGTACAACTTGGATAAAATTTTTATTGTTAAATGTCCCACACCAGATATCTTTGGAATGATTAAACACTATATCTTTGGTATCAGAGCCAAATCGATCCATGGTGTGGGAGGCCCTTATGAATCATGATGAAACGGTTATAAAAAAATGACAATTACGGTCAGATGAAAAAACAGACCGATGAAAAAAATATGAATAATGACACGATCCAGACGAAGTGTCTGGTCGTGAGGAGGGGTGTTAAATGTCCCACACCGGATATCTTTGGAATGATTAAACACTATATCTTTGTTAGGAGATAAGAAAATTGTCGTGCCCCAAGTGCCTTGGTGAAAAGATCGGCAAGTTGTTCTGTGGTAAATTTGTACAAGGGAGTGATGGTCCCAGCTTGAATATGATCACGAATAAAACGACAGTCCAACTCAATATGCTTAGTGCGCTCGTGAAAGACAGGATTAGAGGCGATATGAATAGCGGCATTATTATCACAATAGACCGGTATAGCCGAAGTATGAATAACACCGAGCGAATGCAGAAGATTCTTAAGCTAAATCAATTCACAAGTGAGAGTGGCCATAGAGCGATATTTGGCCTCGGCGGAAGAGCGAGAAACCGTAACTTGTTTTTTGTATGCCACGAGATAGGAGTGTTTTTTGTATGCCACGAGATAGGAGATCCCCCAAGCATAACAAAAAAAACAGTGACTGATCGTCTAGTAAGTGGACAACTTGCCCAATCAGAATCACAAAACCCAATTAAAGAAACTGGAGAATCAGATCGTAATAGGATGCCTTGTCCGGGATGTGCTTTAAGATAGCAGAGTACATGAATAACTGCTTCCCAGTGAGCTAACCGTGGTTGGTGCATGAACTGAGAGAGTATATGAACTGAATAGCCAATATCAGGACGAGTGAGAGTGAGATAAATTAACTTACCAACCAGCCTTCGATACTGTTCAGGAACGTGATAAAATGGTCCCTCGTCGGATTGTAAACCGTGATTCTGTATCATGGGAAAGGAAACCGGCTTTGCTCCAAGAAGACCCGTTTCAGATAGAATATCCAGTACATATTTGCGTTGGCACAAAAAAATACCAGTAGAATTTCTAGCCACTTCAATTCCCAAAAAATATTTCATTCGTCCCAAATATTTAACTGGAAAAGAATTAGCTAAATAATTTTTAAAGTCAACAATCGTTGAATGATTGTTGCCTGTAATAAGCAAATCATCCACATATACCAAGACACAAAGAATATGATTATCTCGGCGTAAGGTAAATAATGAATAATCAGCATGAGATTGTTGAAAACCATAACGAAGCAAAGAATTTGTCAGCTTTGAAAACCAGCAACGTGGAGCCTGACGTAACCCATAAAGAGATCGCAAGAGGCGACAAACCTGTCCAGGCGCAGTGGCTGAATATCCTGGCGGCAAATGCATATACACCTCCTCTCTAAGATCACCATGCAAGAACGCATTGTCCACATCCATCTGATGCAACTCCCAATGCCTAGATGCTGCTACAACCAAGATAGTCCGAACAGTCACCATTTTTGCAACCGGTGCAAACGTCTCCGAGTAATCGACCTCCGGAACTTGGCGATTACCGCATACTACCAATCTTGCCTTATATCGGTCAATGGATCCATCAGATTTGTATTTTATTTTAAACACCCATTTACAGAAAATAGCCTTCTTACCGGGCGGCAATGGCTGAAGTTTCCATGTACCAGTCTGCTCAAGAGCTTGTATTTCACGCTGCATCGCCTCTCTCCAAAGCGGGTCTTTAACGGCTTCTTGAAATGACGTAGGTTCTCTGTGTGCTGCAATAGCTGCAAGAAAAGCACGATGTCCGACCGAAAAATGATTATATTTTACATAATGAAATAGAGGATATGGATTACCCGAGTCAACCGAAGTAGTGGTGCAAACATTGGGGGGAGAAAATATTTTCACTGTGTTGAGTTGAACATCATAATCACGATGCCATGTCGGTGTGTGTCTTGTACGTTTCCGTGGCAAGACCGAACTGGTGCTAGAAGAATTGGTTTCGAACTGTGAAGGAGCTGTGAGAGCATTCTGACCAGCAGAAGAAGTGGTCCCATGTGTATCAAAAATATCTCTGTCATGTGTTGGTGGAGTATTCACCTCCTCACAAGCACCGTTGTTGCATTCCCTGTCATTAGAAAAAGTTGAATTCACTGCTTTGGATGGAATGACATGGTCATCACGCATGTCTTGATTGTCTTCCAGTTGTGACAACCGAACCCAAGTGCCATGTGCTGTTGTATTGTACTAGATTTTCACCCGTGCGTTGCACAGGATGCCGTTAGCTACAATTGAATTATTTTAAAGATAAAGAAGTAATTTGATAAAGATAAAACATCACATATATTATTTTTACAACAATTAATGAAGATATAACTATAAATTATTATACACCTCCTTAAATAGAACACTTAAAACCTTTAACCCAGAAGAAGATTAGACGTTACTCTTGAGACTGTGACGTAAAATTGCCCATATGTAAAAACAGAACGACGTAAACAAACACCAACCCCACCTAAAGTTTGTATTTGACACTCGTTAATGGTCTTCATGTAACTAAGAATCGAAGGACTTGTCTACGATGGATTGTGAACATTAGCTTCAAGCAAGATTGAGTCAAGATAAGTTTCGGAATAAGATATCTATATTCGACATTTGTTCTCGACATCATCTGGCCTTAATAATATGTGTTCCGAGTGTAGTGACGAAGATGTGATTACCATTACTCTATCAAAAGAATGATTGATATTCCTCATTAGCATCACAAGTGCAACTCCTTTCAGCTTCAATCATGACTTGGCACATCTGAACAATCAATGCAAATGAGAAATTTGAGAGAACGCATCTCTTAGTGCACTGTTTTGAGTTATAACTTAGAAGCGGATTATGAATCCAAGCTTAAATGTCTCTTAACCTCGCATGCAGTCAACCCTAGCATGCATTTTTTATTTTGTCACGTCTATCAATGGTTGGCTCAAGAACTATCTTGGAATTTAAAAAGAAAGTGTCAGTGATGCATATTTCGTAGTCGGGGTAGATAATTTCAACAATAGATGCAATTGGACCATTGATTCTACATCGTTATTGTCCCCCATCACCCCATCTCCTATATGCAAAATCCACTCAGTAAAGTTGAATCCCTAAAGCATTTGATGTTTCATTATTGCACCTGAGCTCCATATTCTTTGTAAACTTCAACACCTGGCAGCATGAATTTAAAGCCATATGTTTAATATATTGTCTCGTGCCTTTTGGAAAGGTGTACATACTTGTTTGAAATCCCCTAAAGATGACATTTCCCATTAAAAGGCATGATATGATAATAAGAGCATTATGATCAACCCATCAAATATTAACCAAAGACAAACTCATTAAATGTGAATGAAACATGTCTTATATACAAAGCGGTACAGTCCAGCTGGTCGTCGACTCACTCTCCCTTACGGGAGGTCTCGAATTCGAAACTCAATGAAGTGAGTTTCATATAAGCTATGTTTTTAAACTCAATGAAGTGAATTCGAAACTCATTTAAACTATGTTTTTTTAAACATAGTTTAAAAAAACAATGCAAAATTTGAGAAAATAAATTAAAGAGAGAAATTGGAGATAATATAAGCATACCCACCCCTGTGGCGCTGGTGCTAAAGCATAGCATTATCTCCTATAAAATTAAGAAAAGAAGTTGAATCAATAAGCTGTGCAAAAGGCAGAACAAATGAAAATGCACAAATAATCAGCTGAATCTTAAAACCGAAATAGAGAGAAGAGTATAAATTACCATCCTTGAGTGGATTACCCAAGAAAGGACTAATGGATGTTCTGCTCTAGATATAATCGGAAATCGAAGAGCGAAGATGAGAATCATACCTGGATTGAAATTACAACTTAATTTCGAGCTTTTCAACTCAAATGGATTCCTATTAGCGAAATAGAAAAAGAAGAAGAAGAGTTACTGATGAGCGAAGATGAGGAATGGAAGACGATGTAGAATGATAAGATTTCAGCTACGCTCTAAATTTCTGAATTTCTTTGATAAAATCAGTTGTTGATGGGCAGAGACGATGAGGGACGATGATGACTTGATGAGCGAAGTGGATAACTGGTGCTGATCGAAAGCCCTGGATCTTGTTCTGATCGTGCCGCTGAGAAGCATTCGTTTCTTGAGCGGGAAAAATGCCTCATCAAAGTAGTGCAATTATGTAGGATGATTCTCCTGCCTCACCGCCAACTGATCCGCTAGCATGGTCTCCGTCCACCGTAGCATATGGAAAAATTGTTTCAACAAAATGCACATCACGAGATACAAAATGATGTTGATTCTCCAAATCATAAACTTTCCATCCCTTTTGTGAATATGCATATCCTAAAAACACACATTTGACACCCCGCGGTGCAAATTTATCCCCAGTGCTTTCTTTGTTATGTGCATAACATAAACACCCAAAAAACTCTCAAGTCTCAATTGATTATAAGAGGGTATTTTGTTATACAATAATTCATAGGGACTTTTATTGTCTATCACTGGAGAAGGTAGCCTATTTATGAGATACCCAGCAGTCAAAACACACTCTCCCCAGAAATCAATTGGCAAATGTGCATGAAAACGAAGTGTGCGTGCCATGTCCAAAATATGCCTATGTTTCCTTTCAACTCTCCCATTTTGTTGTGGTGTATACACACAGGATGTCTGAAAAATTATTCCATTAGCCAAAAAATATTCTTTAAGACCAACAAATTCCATCCCGTTATCGCTCCTAACAATCTTGACATGTTTATTAAATTGTCGGCTGGTCATGGCAAAAAACTGTTTCAGAATATGTTTCACTTCACTCTTTGCACAAATTAAATGAACTCATACAGCACGTGAATAATCGTCCACTATAGTAAGAAAATATCTAGCACCACAAAAAGCAGGAGTTCGGTAGGGACCCCAAATATCGCAATGAATCAGCTCAAAAGGTTCAACTGCTCTCGTCAAATTATTATTAAAAATGTCACGAGTTTGTTTGCCACGTAAGCATGCATCACAATCATTATTGAAATCAACGTTAAACAATGATTTATTCATTCTACTAACTACTCGTAACACTGTCTTGGATAAATACCCTAATCTGAAATGCCACAGTTCACTTGATTGAGTAGACGAGATTGACGAAGCATAAATCTTTTCAAGACAGTGAAAATAATAAACTCCCCCGTTCCGTTGACCCACTCCAATCGGCGTCCTCGAAGGTAGGTCCTGTACCACACATATTTCATTAGTAAAATAAATATCACAATTCAGTTCATCAATTAATCGTGCTACCGAAATTAAATTGCATCGCAAGCCCGGCACATAAAGAACATTTTTTATCAAAATTTTCGGACTTAATTGGATATGTCCCACACTTGTTGCATGAGTTACTTTTCCGTCTGGTAAAGTAACCGGAACAGGAGCTAATTTTTCAATGTTCTTCATCAGACCCATATTTCCTGTCATATGAAACGAAGCTCCAGAATCTAGGAGCCAGTCCACGTTAGCTTTTATACCTGTGAGTTTTTCTCCACTAAAAGAAGGCTTACAGTGTTCCACCAAGTTTAGGAGGCCCTGTAATTGCTCATCGGATAAGCCGGCAGCTTTGCCCAAATTGATCTTACGTCGATTTTCATTGGTCGTCTGAGTATTGGTCATTTTCGTGAGCTTTTGTAAAGGATTTTTGGATCGTTATTACTACCCTGATACCATGAAAAGTTTCGTACGCAAAGAGTAGAGAACGTAAGATTTATTCATAATTGAATTGCTTGATTACAAAGATGGATCCCCACTATATATTTACAATTTGCAAAACTACCCTACTGGCCATCGGCCTTTTGATAGGCATAAAAATAGTAAAAGATAATTACAATGAATTAAAGTAACAATTATACACTAAGAGTCCAATCCATGCTCCACTACCGTAGTATGTACTCCGTATAATGACGACATAGCATGTATGCCGGTCAAACCATTTATGTGTACCACAATAATGTGTATCAACATGTATGTTGACCGGACTAGTGCCGCCACTGTCATTCCGCACAGCTCTAACACCGGGTTGTCTCGTCACCAACAGACTCACCCGTTTATACAAGAGAATTATGGGACAATTAGTTGTATTCACTATTCTAAAAATTGATCTAGTCGGACATATTAATCAGCCTACTCAGCCTAATCAGTCTAATCGGCCTAGTCGACACCGCCTATGCATTAGGCATCCCCAGCGCTCGACTAGCGTGTGCCTAGCAAATTTTAGAGCAATGGTTGTATTAATTAATTAGATTAGGATATTAAGGGTATAAAAATGTCTAGTCTTATTTGGAGAATATGTACCGTGGACTCCTATTTAGGGAGGAGTATGCTTTACTTGCAATTGCTTAATTTACAATTAAGTGTGTGTCTCGCTTTGATTTTATAGTCTCATATATTTATCGGAATTTATTAATGCTTGCAGTATACCCCAAAAAAGATGCATGTTAAAGGGTGGAAATGCTGCTTCGAAATTGGATTGGCTCACCATCAGTGTAATATTACAACTTAACCAATTAACATCCTCTTAATGATCTGATTTAACTTTTTCTGGATGTGTAGTGTTATTTTGAATTTTTCTAAAATATGATTATATTGTAGGCTTTATCATTCCAAAATCAACGTGTTTACTGTGTTGCTCCTAAGTTGACCTCGTTGACCATCTAGCTCCGAGAATTGACCTGCATAATAATCACTAAAAACAACTAAAAATACATTAGTGGCTCGAGACGCGTCAGACGCTATTCTAAGAAATTATTTCCGGCGTACGGAAATTTCCCCCAAGATATAATGAGCCATTCGGTTATAAAACCGGTTCCAGAACTAACGAGAAGAAAATTAATATATATGAACCCAGTAATAATTTGAACAAAACATAATTATATTGTAATATATCTCTTAGATGAATGAATGATTGTTATATGTTCGCATAACATAAACCATAGGAAGCCGGTGTGCAATGCTACCAAGCATACTTTCTTAATCACTTAGCTATCTCCTCTCCCAAACATGAAAACCACGTACTCCGTAATATATACTCCAAGCAAAAGTAATGTTCCTACAAGCTCATAATTATCAAATTAATAATAGGGGCTATATGTGTTCCAAGTCTCCAACGTTACATTCTTATAGAATTTAATTAATGGTAGTAAACAATCTCCTAAAAACGTTTATGCATTAATATGCATTTATAACAATTAGTAGAGCAATCAATCATCATAATAAAGTATCATATATAATAAACTTATATAATTATAAATAGTTATAGGCATTTCCAACTATGTGAATCAACTAAAATCATTACTTACGTATTAGACGAGGAGTAAACTAGTTTTTTTTAAGTTTTCATAAATTTTCTTTTTAAAAAAAATAAACATTATTCATTTGAAATACTCCAAAATTTCCAACATATATGAATATCTTATTTTCCTTTTTCATATCTTACAAGTTGCAATTTTTGATGTGATTTTCACTATGGGTCATTCGGAAACAGTCTCTCGGTACTTTAATACAGAGGTAAGACTACGTAGATCCGACCCCCCCCCTTAACCCACCGTAGGTGAGGAGCCTTTGAGGCACTGGGGTAATGATGATGATGATATCGACAGGAATACACACTCTCTTCAATACACACTAGCTCACCAGACCAAATGTCCTTCCCAATCAAGATTTTCCCGGCCAAATGTTCACAAATGCTAGAACATTTAAGAATTCCAATTTGCAATTAAATTGAATATTACAAAACATGAACTGAATTAAGGATGTTTTTACTTGGACTGTAATTTGCTGGTCTGGTCTGGTCTAGTCTGAATTGGTCTGATCTGGTAATGTCTGGTTTCTTTGTATTTTTATAACTATCCAAGTCTGGTCTGAACTAGTTTGGTCTTGTCTGGTCTGGACTGGTCTGGGATAAATTACAGTCTAAGTAAACGCATCCTAACAAATTTTTACTTGAGGAAATCATGCCCACGGCCCGTCCTCAGCATGGGTAATAGTAGTTTTTGCACTAAGACCACTACTTTACAAGGCCCGGTGACGGGGTCGGTGCAAAAAATATTTCGAAAAATTTTCGCACGCTTTTGTTTACCTTAAATTTTAAACAAAATTGAATATTGAGATAGACCGGGGCCTAGGTTGGCCCACCTAGCTACACCCTGCAAGGACCCCTACACCCGGAATATATATTTGTATTAAAAAACTTAACAACTAATGACTAAGTAAATTTGGGGGTCATTAATTATATGTAAAATTTAGAGAAAATTGTAGATTTAATCAATGTACGCACATGCTCATTTTTAGTTTTATAATGGACCTTTTTGTCCTTATTATGGACCTTTTTCAGTTTCCATCCGAATGTGCCATTTATGGCGAAAAAATAGATGCCGGAGATTAATATTTCGATCTTTTTTTGTTGGACAATATTTTTCCTAATGAGAAAGTTTTAATATGGATAAATTAATAGTTCAGGATCAAAAATTAAAGGACGAGTATATATACTTTCAATGACACAGTAAGCTTAGGTTCTTTGGTCTACCTTCTAAGACTTTTACACTTCCATTCAAATTAAATTATTGTCCTCAGTCTAGCTTACATATGTTCTGGCGGGTCTTTGGGGCTTAGGGATACATTTGCACGGGCCTTGTTTTTCATGTGACATAATTGAGTTTGATTTTCAATTTTTAACCATTCTATTCCAGAACTTTGTAGCTCGGGGCACCTATCTCAGAATTGTCCATTACTAAAATCCATCTACATGATTTTAACTTTGGCTAAAGGGTCAAATAGGCTCTTGAACTGACTTAAAGTGTTCAATTAGCCCCTTATATAGGAGGTTTTGCCCGGTCGTCGCCAATTGGGGCAGTTCCCGGTGGAATTTTTTGATGAAATTTTTTGAGCATCTTCTTCATTAAGTCTAGTTTACTCATACTAAATTTCACCTAAAAATTCAACCGGGAAGGCAGTCAAATGATTTTTTGAAGATAACTGCGAAGTTAAACAACGAAGTACATTTCAGAAAATCATTTGACTGCCTTCCCGGTTGAATTTATAGCTGAAATTTGGAATGAGTAAACTGCACTTAATGAAGAAGATGCTTAAAAAATTTCATCAAAAACTTCCACCGGGAACCGCCCCAATTAGCGACGGCCGGGCAGAACCTCCTATATAAGAGCCTAATTGAACACTTTAAATTAGTTCAAGGACCTATTTGACCCTTTAGCCTTTAACTTTTAAACATTTATTGATAGTCATTTTATCCATGTCTAGCTTATGAGCCCGTTCGATAATAGCCAAATAGGCTATATTGATTGATTCTGCTGAAATTTGTGAAGTTCAGGCTGATGTGGCTGTATTGGCTGATTCTGCTGATTTGTGAAAAATAATACTACCTATGTTCTTCAATAAATGCAACATGTTGAATTTTACACTATTCACATGTTCTACTTTGACTACGTTTTATTTATTAATGTATTAATATGTTTTTATGAAAAAAATATGAAATAATTACATAAACATGACCAAAATAAAAATGATTTACAAAAATATGATTCATTACTAGAGTAGTAATGAAATCATAGTAATGCATGTTCAAGTTTTGAACTTTAGTTACCACAGCACTACGTTGTAGTAATGAAGTCATATTTATGTAAATAAGTTTTATTTTAGTAATATTCTCGTAAAAAACCCAAAAAATATTGATAAATTTGTCTCATTGTAAATTTTCAAAAACTAATTTTTTTTTTAATTTTTTTACTAATACAAAATTATATATATTAATGGTCAAAGTTGTGTCTCGACAAGTGTGAAATGTTGACCGTTGCATTTATTTAGTAACGGGGGAAGTAATTTAAAATACAATTTATTAATAAAATAAAGAAAAAATAGATGATAAAATAGCTAAAATGACTCTCTACAGTAATTTCAACCAATACAGCGAGAAAAGTAACTTCAACCTTACTTCTTCTTCTTACACAATTCAGCCCGTAAAATCAAAAGTTACGTTTTTTACGAAAAAAGTTGACTTATAAGTCCGAAAAAGTAAAAAATAATGCCTATCAAACAGGATCTATATATAACGACTAATTAATAATATCATTTCAGTTCCAAATACCTTTGCATTTTCACTATGGAACCTAACTAATTGACTGCATTTAATTTGTTCCCGTGTGCTTTAGAGCTTTGTTGTGGCTGTCCTTGCAATTGTGATATCGACATTTTCAACCGGCATCAATTCAAAACGTTTTCTGGTGCGTGCTTCGATCGATTCTCACAAATTTATTGATTTCGTTATTATAATTATAATTGAAAAACAGATTTAAGAAATGCGTATGTACAGCTAAGACAACCGAATGAGCAACAGCAAGACGATGATGTTCCATATGGGTATGGGTTCCTTCACTTTGTTTTCGCCACCGCAACGATGCTTTTCTCAATGCAATTAGTTGGTTGGAATGACAACGATCATATGAATAAGTAAGTTCAATTTATCATTATGTGCATGTTTTGAATCTTTTTTTGAAACATTAATAATAATAATAATAATAATAATAATAATAATAATAATAATAATAATAATAATAATAATAATAATAATAATAATAATAATAATAATAATAATAATAATAATAATAATAATAATAATAATAATAATAACATAAACAAAAAATAATATCATGATAATGACGGTGGTGGTGGTGGTGGTGATGATGACGACGACGATGATGACAGTGATTAAACTATATATACGGTTTGATTTACTTTAATGGTAATTTATTTTTAATTATTTATACTAATTTTCTTCACTAAAGTCTAACAAACTTTAAAAAATGAAATAATACTAAAAACTAATTAAAGTAAATTCATCAAAGTTCATAATATTTTAAGTCTTAGATAAATAATATTTAGTCACTTGGATCTTTCATTGACATTTTCATCTTCTAAATTCTTAATTGACAGCTAGCATGTATTTCAAGTCTTGGAATGAAGAAATCATATAATTTTATCTTTTACTTCATTAATAAAATATATTTCATACTTTTTATGAAGTATAATTTTAATTCAATAACTTTAGTCAATTCATTCATTTCGATCACTATTTCAACAATGACAAAAGATGCAGTCGACTTAAATAACCAATGTGGAGTGCATGATTGTTTTAAATGAATGTGCATGTAAGGATGTTTTTACTTGGACTATATATACACAACCAAGATCAGACCTGATTTGTGACCAGGTCAGATTAAACAGATCATATCAAACCAGTCTCCCACAATTATAAAATATACAATATACATAGATCAGATATCGATCAGACCAGACTAATTCAGACTAGACCAGATCAAATTTAAACTGACATGACCCTATCAAATTCGTCCAGACCAGAAAATTCAATCCAACTAAAAGAGTAACCGGATTATTATCTATTTCAATTCATGTGGTGGGTTGGTTGTACAGGTTTACAATTGATATCGGATGGATTGGTACTTGGGTGGGGATAGTACATGAATGCGTAGTAGCCGCTTTTTATGGTAAAAATTCTATTTTGATTGACAGTATTAATATCATAGAAATGTTCTGGTCCGAACATTTCTGGTCCGAACACCGTCCGAACTTGCTCATTTAGGACCCTTCCCGGTGGAATTTTTTGAACATGTTCCTCATCAAGTCTAGTTTGTCCATACCAAATTTCAGCTCAAAAATCGATCGGGAAGACATTCAAATCATTTTTTGAAGTTGACTGCGTTTTTTATATGTATATTTTGACGCAGTCAACTTCAAAAAATGATTTGAATGCCTTCCCGATCGAATTTTGAGCTAAAATTTGGTAAAGACAAACTAGACTTGATGAGGAACATGCTAAAAAAAATTCATCAAAAACTTCCACCGGGAAGGGTCCCAAATGGACAAGTTCGAACGGTGTTCAGACCTGAACATTTCTCATTAATATCATATTTGACAAAATTATTAAATTATCAGAGCATCTACCATGGTGAGTAATATAGTTATCAATTTCATGCTAATCAAAGTTATCCATTTGACAGTATATTATATCACTTCTTGTACCAATCAAGCCGCAGAAGGAACGCCCGTCTAATGTTTTTTCCAGACTGTTATTTCAGTAGAATGATTAAAGACACAGAGCGGTGATTTTTTGAATGTTACTCCGTAAAAGAAAGCAGCTATAAGTGCTTTAGTGATGCGGCAATTTTTTAGAGGAGCATCATTGAGTTGCATAAATTATTTAGAGACCGTTTGACAATACATTTTTTCGGCTTATCAGTCAACTCTTTCATCAAACACGTAACTTTTGTTTTCACGTGTTGAATTGTGTAATAAACAGAAAACGTAAGGGTGAAGTTACTTTTCTGGCTGTATTGGCCGAAGTTACTGTAGATGATCATTTTACCTATTTTTACATATAATTTTTTCTTTATTTTATTAAAAAATATATTTTAAATTATTTTTTTCTTGAATCAGTAGAATCAGCCAATGCAGCCACTTCAGCCAGAACTTCATAATTTCAACAGAATCAGCCAAATCAACTGATTTTCGTGCTACCAAACAGGCTCTTAATGAGATTATTTGCTAGAATAATCCGGAATCAAAATATGAATCTAGATTATTTTAAGATTATGTTTAGTGCATGACTAAGAGAAAACCACATTATTTGAAGATGATGTTTGAGTCATAAACAAAAATTTAGATTTTTTTGGACAAATCTTTCTAACCTATTATAGCATCTGTTCTCTTAAAGCCAACATCCTTGAACTGGGATGAGATTCGAACCCGTGACCTCCTCTTTAAAAGTGTCGCAGTGATGTTATTAGACCATAAAATACTTGGCAACAAAAATTTAGATTATTAAATAATTAAATATGTGAACTTTGTTAGTAATATACGGTTCGTGAATAATACAATAATACGTACGTTCGTGTGTAATACGATACAATTATATAAAATACGGCTTAATATATGTTTCATACGTTCGTGAAATATATACAGATACAGACGTGTTTTAAACGTTTCACATTTTTAAAATACGGCATATAATATGTGTCTTATATACTAATTTAATGAAAGAAATAAAGAGTTATCAGTACAAATTTGAATGATAGGTACAATAAGTAATAAAAATGACGTTGCCTATTTGAGTAGAAGTACGGAGATATTACCAAAGAATAGTTGATATTACTGTGATTGTGAGTTTGTTGAGCCACCACAACATTTTTCGAACTCTTTGGAGTCTTGGTATGGGTGGAGAACAAAAGTAATACAATAGTAGTACAATAGTAATGTCGAAACAGATTAAGAATTTAAGAAGCTAATTTATTAAATGTAATGACTATTAAACAATTAACAAACATATAAGACATACAGTGTTTTTAAGCAATATAAATAATATTGAGCAGCTAGAGTGCTAAACATTTCATTTCAGTTGTATAACTCCATTAGGCTTCCGTTTAATGGTGTGTGTTTAAGAATAAAATACGTATCAATACATACAGAACGTGTGTTATCCATTTATCCTTAAAGTACGCGAGTTTTTCAGAATTTTCTGAAAAATTCATAAACGGGAGTATTATTCGTGAATAAAATACGTATCAATACGTACGGTACGTGTATTATACATTTTATCCTTAAAGTACATGAATTTTTCATAATTTTTTGAAAAATTCATAAACGCGAGTATTATACGCGAATTATACGTTTGAGTGTATTATACGCGAATTATACGAATTCACAAACGGAGCTCACTGTTGGATCCGGAATGGCCGAAAATGGTAGGAACCGGTCTGACCTCGTCTAAAACCGGTCTGGAAATGGGTGAACCGGCCTCCACAACTACGAACTGGTTCGGTCCGATTCTGGCAGCAGCCCAGCAGGCGGATGACGTGTAACACCGTCCCCAAATATATTTACCTTTATGTAAATTATGTATTGAACATGGCGTATCTAGTAATGAATTTACAAGGTTGTAAATTTTTTGTATTTCTTTTGCGTGAATAGTAAATTCCACGTGTGGCCCACACTCGGAGCGGGGGTAACCCGATAACACGAGACCACATGTTATATTCATCTTGGTCTAGATAATAGTTACATGGTGGTGGACATTCATAATGGGCCATGAGAAAGGCATTGGGTTGACCGGTTTGGCAAATAGGGCCCAATTACCGGTATTGGTAATTTAACAGATGACAGCCCGAAATGAATTTCGGGGGCTTATAAATTAAAGTTGGGGAATGTATATTCATTATGAGGGTCATAATGATTGAAAACACATAATATACTTTATTTGACCCGATCAAATAAAATATATTTAAAACAGTCCGAAAAATACAACTTTTGGGGTCAACTGTACACACCGGGACACAAAGGGATGACCTCCCACATGTGTGGGGGCCACCCCACGAAATTATTAGCTCAAATTGTCAAAGAGGAGCCGCACAACATGGTTGTGAGGCAATAGGAGGGCTGAAGTTGATGGTTGGTGTGAAAGAAACATGAGTGGGCTCTCTCCTCCTCATTATTTTGCCAGAAAGACAAAAGAGGAAAAGTCTCCTCCTTACACCCCCTACCCATCTCGGCCAAACCCATTCAAGAGTGAGAGAGAGAGCTGCAAAACACCTATCACCACATCCAAAAACGAGCTCAAGCAAAGGGAGAGCCAAGGAGGTGTTTGGAGGAAGGAAAAAGTGAAGAAAAGTGTGAAAGATTAAGGTAATGACCTTATATTAACTTTTCCTTTATTTTCCTTCCATCACATGAGCTACATATCATATGGAGACCCTTGAGGATTTTTCTACATGACTTAAGTGTAGAATGATGGGTTGGAAGGTAGTTCTAAGTCCAAAAATGGACTTAGGAGCTAAATCGACAAGTTCACCGGAAAATAACCTTTTAGAGGTTATTTGTATTGATATGGGTTTTGTGATGATAAAACCTTGTTAGGCACTTGTCAAAGTTGATTTAAGAGCTTTCACAAAGTTTAAAGAGTCGCCGGAGTTATCGCCGGAGTTCGTCAAAGTTCGCCGGAGTTTGGCCGGAGTTCAACCGAGAAGGGTAGAACTTCATCACGCTCATTTGAGGTGAGTGGATGGCTTAATGTCTTATAACTCTTGGGTTAAGTATGAGATTACCTAAATGAATGTTATAAGTATTCATAATGATGTTTAAAGGAGTTTAAGCATGTGATTAGCCAAGGTATCGAGCTGGAGTGAGTGGTGGTCTGTGAACTCGAGCTGTGAGAGTGCTGAGACTGTTTGGTTGATATCTCGAGTTATACCAATCCAATTAAGTCGTGTGAGATACCAAAAGAAATCTTTCAAGACGAGGAATCCGTGAAGCTCTGGTTTGCATCAATCGGAGTAGAGGAAGGCTTCCAAATCGTCCGAACAGAACGCGACCTCGCAGGAACGGATTTACTCTTCTAAGTGAGTTGTTAATCCCAAAAGCTTTTCCTTTCATTTTCCAAATGATATGAACGATTGGTGGAACTATTGTACACTATTCCAAGTGTATAATATGTCCTTGAAAAGTTATTTAATTGATGTAAAGGTTAGATACTAACCTAGAGTAAATCTTGGAAAAACTAGGAGACGAGTTGACCGGAAAACACCCATTCTAGGGGCTGTTTTCGTATCAACGTTTGAGGGTGAGCTAGCACTTTGGGGAGGCGGTTTAACACTCATATTTAAGCAAGGAATCAGTTCTTAATCCACCGTGGCCGAAGCTTTGACCATTGGATCAAGAAGGAAAAGTTTAAAGCTCAATTAAGGTGAGGATTGACATCTAATTGCTTACATCTTGTAGGTTAAGCATGAGATTACCTAAATGCTTAAATCATTATTTTTCATGGATTATGATGATTATATATTGATGAAATATTGATATAGTTTCCAAAGAATGAAATTTGAAATGAATTGAGAATGTATGAATAATATGAGATTAAAGGACTATAAATGAACTATTTTGTGAAATAGGCATTTTGCTCATGTATGAATTATGGGGATACATAAATGAATATTTGTGTATTGAGATTTAATACTTAAGTTGCTGCTACATAATTATAAATATGTAGAGAATTACAAATAATGAGGATAATGGTATGATAACAATAATCTTAATAGTATTGAAATACTAGTAGTGATTATTGGGACTTGTTGATTAAATTGATCCTAGGGATTGGATTGTATGAAAGGTACTTGAATATAGTTCAAGTGTATATAATACTTAGTATGGAACTAAGGTTAAGTTATGGGAAGTCTTTAAGGATGACCCATGGTAGTTTAATGATATGTCAATTCTAGGCATAGGGTTGCTTGAGAATTGGACCTTAATGCATGGTGATGTGATAGAGTCGAGCTCTAGAATGCATGTAAGGTGTAGACTTGGAGTCTATGTATTGTATAGCTAGAGCCGAGCTCTAGGACTTGCGTGGTGATGTGATAGAGCCGAGCTCTAGAACGCAAGGTAGGGAAATTGACCCGAGGTATATGAATTGTATGGTGATGTGGTAGAGCCGAGCTCTAGAATACAATGTCATGTACTAGGGTTGGACTCTAGGAGTTGTCGTGGCTTATAGTCACGGGGTTGGGAATGGTGATTTCCAAATGAACATGGGCCCACGGGCCGGCTACTTGACTTTTATATAAAGTAAGTATATTTTTAAACGGGTAACTTAGGGTTACAATCATAATGTACTATCACCCTATTTGAGGGTCTTGTGTTTGAAATACTTGTTGTATATCTATTAGATGCCTGCCACACCAGTACTTTATAGCCGTATAGAGTACTGACCCCTTCGGGGGCGTCCCACCACCATTTCAGGTTGAGGCTTGAGCTTGCATCCTGCGCTTGTTGATCGGGTGAATCCGTGGGGAGAAGACTTGGTTCGTGCTTCCTCCATTCTATTTGAAACATTAACAAATTTGCTCATGGATATTTTATTATAGAGCCTGCGTGCTCATGAATAGCCCTGTGTGGCCCTTTTGTTTTAAACAATGTTTTTCCGCTGCGTATTGAATTGTTTATTATGTATGTTTATGGATGACTTATGTGTGAATGATATTCATGACGCCTTGTATAATATGAATGTGTTGGACTGCGGTTGACTATTCGTATTGTACGGCGGGTTGTTGACGTGTCCGGGGAGGTCCGGAGCGTGACAGGGCGTGTATCCTCAAAACTCATAGATTACATTTAATAATCTAGGACCGGGTGGTGTCCCTATGATAATTTATTTGAACAAGGAGGAGTTCCATACACTCATAGGTATATGGGTGGGTTGGGATTTAAGTCAAGGACATTGGCTCTATTATTTTCCCAAATAAACAATGACCTACGGGTCGGGTATTTCCAAGTGTATATATACTAAT